AATACAACAGCAAAAAAAAGGGGGGGCATGCGTGCAAACAGTTTCTGTGTACGGCACGCAAAGTATGAGAAATATCCAAAAAAAAAAACACTTTCCTTCTCCCCACAGAGAGAGAAAGAGACAAAAAAAAAAACGTAGTAGATGCAGAATGGCACGAGTAGGAGCATCCCACTCCGCAGTTTTCACCGTCGACTGAGTGCAAACACTTTTTATTTGTTTTTATTTTTGGCTTTACACATGCATTTGTGTGCATGTGTGTGTGTCTTTATATGTAGAGGAGCAAAGTCGTGGCAGTAATAACATGTGCTGTGTGTATCGCCTCGTTTCTGAGGCCATCATCGACACATAAAACCGAGATTGTCACCCCTCCCCCAGCAAAACAGGAGCAGAAAAAAAGAAACAAAAACACTGACACATGCAGATAGATAAACACATACATAGTGCATTGCAGTGCCATCGCACGGCGACAAGGATATAGCAGTCGTATACATATATATTATATATATATGTAGTGAAAAAAAAAAGGTACGTCTCAGAAAAAAAAAGGTGCGACTCTCGCAAAACAGCAAATATTCCCCAACCGACATGGGAGCATCGATGCCACTTACGCATATAGGATGGATACTTCTTTTTTGTCTTCTCGTGCCACCATGGGCTGCGTCGCACTGCTCCTAATTCTGTTTCCCTCCACTTCTCTCCTTCTCAGAGAAGCCAGGGGCCCAACCTGCGCCCGCCCTCACCGACCCTCTCCACAAGGAGGGGGAACATGCACGAAGCAATTAAAACACACACAAAAGACACAGAAACTACAAAAAAAAAACAATTAATCACAAACGAAAAACAAAACAAACAAAAAGCCACAAAACACTTGCGATAAATGTTCCCTCAAGGCATCCAAAAAGCACCGACCAAAAAAAAAAGGAAAATAATAAAAATTTAAATAAAGTAAAGAAACGCACCGTTCGGGAGTGTGCTCGAATGTGAAGGGGAAGTACACGTGACCTGGAACGTACACATAAGAAATGCCCAAACAAGTTCGCGTTAAACCCATAGTAAATACGTGGTTCACGCTCTGACAGGGCGGAACGAAAAAAATTCAGCCGAGTCGCACGCACCAAGGCCAAGCAACAGTAATGATACAAATACTCATCAAAAGAAAAAAAACAATTGAGAATACGACAGAGACAAGTGAGAAGAGGAAAAAGATAAGGTTCCCAAACCACAACGACAACTGGTCAATGCGGTAGCAATGACCGCAGAAAAGAACACATAATCGCATTAACTCCCCTTCAATAAAGCAGCATAGAGAAAATTTTTTTTTGTTTTTTTTTTGTTGGCTCTGTCCTTCTTTCTACACAAACGACTCCTTTCTTTTGTCCCTCTTCCCCTCACAATATTGCTTGCAACAGCTCCCCCATTTATGCCCCCCTCCCCTCCCCCCTCGCGCACACACGCACACACAAATACAGAAAAGCAGAAACAAAATAAACACAAAAACCAAAACGGAAAAAAGAAAAGAAGAAATCACTTTTTGTGAGCGTCAAAATTCTAATTCACGCAGTCTTTTTTTTTGTTTTCATCCCTCTAAAATTTCTGTTTTGCTCCCCTCTTCGTCTTTTTTACCTCCGACTGCACCCCGTCAAATGCGGAACAGCGCTCCTCCATGCTGCCACCAAAGGCAACGACAAGAGAGCCGTGCAGTGAGCCCAATCAAAAGCAGTGGGCGGGACTATGACAAAAGGAAAAAGAAAGAAAAAAGGTATGCTAAGAAGAAACAGCGTACAAGAAGCATAACACATAAAAACAAACAAAAAGAAAGATACGTCAACGAGCGAGTAAATAAATGTGCGATCGCCATAGAGGCAAGAGAATACACGTTGCAACTCTAAAAGAGTCAAACATTTCTACTGCGCCCGATACCAACAACTGTAAAAGAATGAGAAACAAAATGAAAATAATAATAATAAAAAGACATAAAGAATCGTCAATACTACAGTGTCTGCACCATTCCACATGCACCGACAGTGTAGTTCTGTAAGTAGCAAGAGCACGGCGAGGGAGAAACTGGGTGACTCAGTTGCCCTTTTTTATTCAGTCAATAATGCTGGTGATATTGTCCAGAGAACAAGAACAATAATAATAAAAAAAAAAAAACGACGCTCCTCACTACACACCAAAAACTCTTCTTTTTCCCCTGCCCCACGCCAAGCACAGAAAGCAAACTTATCAGCAATGGTGCACCTAGGCCAAACCTGTCAACCCCGCGCCCCCCAACTCTCCCCCTCCCCACGCTGCCCCATCAAGAGAGAGAGAGACACACACATGCCAGCTGAATAAGGGGGGAGTAAAGTGGGACAAGTTCGGACGGGGAATGTGCGACACAGCCCCTACACGAGAAACAGTAACAAGTCAAACACACACAACAAAAAAAAAAAACTATCAAAGCAAAGAAAACAAACCGAAAAAAAAAGTCGCACCAAACAATAAATCATCCAGCGCATTGCGTACCGGGAACTGGAAACGACTGAAGTAAAAAAAAAGACGAGATAAGCAACAGCCCGAAAACCCCCACAACTTGAAAATGGGATCAACGCTCTCACTACTCCCCCACTCACCGCACAATATCAGCCTCCGCCTCTCATTCTCTCCTTCGGCTTTCTCATCGTTCTTCTTCTGCCAACAATTCGCTCGGCACCCCTCGTCTCGCTCTTTGGGATAAAGAAACTTTCGGCTGGCCATTCCCACCTGCGTTTTTTTTGTTTTGTTTTTCATTCCTTGTCATTCGCCTCCTCTTGGTTAATTCGTCCCGTTTCATCTTCCTTTACAGTACGGAGCACAGTAAAAAATGAAAGTAAACACAACGCTGGACAGGCGTTGCTCAAAGAGACGGTGTTTTTCTTTTTTTCCAGTCTGTGGTCTCACCAAATTCACGCACAAGCCACGCGCAGCCCGGCAGGCAAAGGGCGAACGTCAGCTGCGAAGGCAGCCACACAGTGAGTCAAGAACGCCAGCCAATGCGGAGTGGTAGTGGAGTACCACAACGGACGGAAACAAGGGAGCAAACCCGCAAGGTGGATGAAGAAGTGGGGAAGGGGAAGAGGAGAACAAAGTTCAGGCAAAGCAACACAAGAGCATTGAAAACAAAACAAAACACCACATGTGATGATGGCGATGACACAAACAAATTAAAACCAACGGAAAACAAAATAAACAACTGCACACAAACGGAGCAGAAAAACAATACATAATGATTACAAAAAGAAAAAAAAGAAGTACGTTAGCCGTAATTGCAACAAATGAAAAACAAAACAAGAAAAAGAGGAAGAGAGAAGTAAAGTAAATAGGTAAGCGT